CACAAACACACACAGAGACACACACACAGAGACACACACAGAGACACAGAGACACACACAGACACACACACACACAGAGACACAGACACACACACACACACCACACACACACCACACACACACACAACACACACACACCACCCACACACACACACACACACACACCCGCGCGCGCGCGCCCAGACCAAGGCCCAGTGCCAAGTGTGTCAAAGATAGCGCCCATGCAAATTCAAGCAGCTCCTTTGAAAAGTCATACCGAGTGTGCAGTTACCAGAAAGTCAGGCAGCTGTGACTGCCGTGCTTGCCTCGCCATTGGAGCAGTTTGTCCCTCCCCGCTTGCATGCGGAGAATGTAGGATTTCACTTGGAGTCGTTGCTCTTGGATGCTCTTGAATGGGTTTATCAAATATGGGTTTGGGCCCGTGCCACCTTACCTTCAACGGACAAGCATAGTGTGTAGCAATTGGTGCAGTTCACAGTTGTGGCCCGAATTCCTTTCTCAGGAAGCGCATGGAGTGGAAGATGGCTGCAGCAATCCTGGACTACCCAGCTAGTGTAAGTATTGACACAGTCATGTGCAATGCTGCGTTGGACGCCTACTCTCGGATGGGCAAGTGGTTCTGGGCGTCTACTTTGTTCCACAGGATGTGCGATGTCCGCAAGTCCGTTGTGAAGCCTGACGAAATCAGTTCCAGCACACTGCTCGCTGCATGTGAGACGGCCTCCCTATGGAAACCGCAGCTCGACGTCCTTAGACTCTTGACTGCGAGGAGCCGTTTCTAGTTTATGTTGTCCTACTGTGTTTACTTGAACATCATACGTTTCCTGGTCATATAAATGCAGCAAGAAAACAAACAGTTTTCCACATGTCTGCGGCCTTCCTGGATGGTGGCTTCGCAGCTCGCTCCTCTGGGCATGTCAGGGTTGTGCAGGGCAATCTGTTGTGTTTAGATTCAAGACCCTGGCGGATCTGAGAACCCCATTGGCAAGCTGGCCTTTCCTGGCAGAAACAGGCGCAACGACACCGAGGGCCCAGACATTAGCCTGCTCAAAGCAGGCAGGTCGGCTCCAGGCTCCCGTGAACCTGAGACCCTGGAAGTGTTTAAGAATTTTAAAAAGGCCAATGGGTCGAAGGAAGGAAGGATGTGACATGAGTATGATATGAGCAAAGGTCCCAGGTAGAGCGGGATCCAAGAAGGCCAACACTTTGGCCAAAAGGTTCCCTAGAACTGTTTGATTCATCTCCATCCTGTTGGATTCCATAGGTCGGCAACGTATTGGGGGCTTCGCACGTAGGCTCTTAGCGTCGGCCCCAAGAGTAAGAGCTCGTACAGAAGTGCTTTACCAGCATTGCCTGCAGCTACTTCAGGGATCACCACAGCCCGAATCCCGGACCAACTACGCCGGCATGACTCCGTCTTTACAATGGCACCGTCCGCGCCACGCGCCAACGACCCCCCTGCCCTTTTGGCACGGAACTATTGGTTTCAGAAACGCGCATGCCCCACACCAAGCTCCAAAACTGTTGTACATCCTTGTCTCCAAATGCACAGACAATGAGGTGTCTTTGCCTGTCTTGAAAGTTTGGAACGACCCCGGCACAGAGATACACACATGTAACAACATGGGTGTTACAGAGGCTTGCATGAGACGAAACCTGGCGACCGGGGTTTTGGCACGTGGCCGATGTGTGTAGGGACCATGCACCTTGCATCTCTTGAGCTACCAGAATCTACCAAAGCTCCTTCAACACTGGCACCTGAGGTCTGTGCAGGAATGCCAGACTGCCCCTGAGAGTTGGAGCATTGAACATTGTTCTTCGTTCGGGACTCGATCGTGGTATGAAATGGGGGTGGTCGCTCAAATTGCTGGAACTTCGGCATGCAGTTGCTGGAAGCATTCTTGGCATATCTTGGCATCATGCGAAAAGGAATGCAATGTGCCACGTCTGCTTGTTGCTTCCTGCGCGTGAACCAGCTATAGGAAGACATGCAGATGGGACCCAGCGGGGTTGATGCCGGAAGCTTGAAATCAACTGCGCAAGTATGCGCGGAGGGCCACAGCTGGCAGCACAGTATCGCTCTTTGACACTTGGCACAGTTCAATGCTGCAGGAACTCTTAAGGAAGGTCTGTGTGAAAGAGCGGAAAAGACAGACCTTTTTGAGGAGGGTGTGCAATGATTGTCTGACACGAACATTCAGTGAATCTTATCCTGAGACTGCTTACACAACTTTTATTGAAACGGAACGGTCGAACCACACAGAAGCATTTCGCAGAGAATGGAGTGAATCATTCATCTTAAGGCTAGCTCTAGCGACCCGCCCTGGACCGTTTGCTTCCTGCTTGGCTTTCATAGCCTTTGCAGCGGAACATGTTTCCACCGCAGCACCGTAACGGGGGGCGAGACGACGAGATGTGCAGCCTTTCGGCAGCCAAGGCTCGCAGGGGAGAGATGAGGATGTTGATGTGAGAGCTTTCGTTGCGACAACATTGCCGGAATCTTCAAAGTGGCAAGTGGGATTGAGTGTCCATGCACGGTCTGTAGAATCAGTGCTTCCGGCACACCTGTGGTTGACGGCAGTGCGGCTGGTCGGTTCATCCTGGAGAATGCGACTTCGGACCAAGCTTGGTTGCAGCTCCGCTATCAGCTGCTGTGGAAAGGCCGTCTTGAGCCGTTACATAAATCCTCGGGCTCAGCCTCATTCGTTCTTCTGAAGGCGCAGGCATGGCTGGAAGCTCTCTTCATTCTCAGAGCTGCGAGTGTGGGCATGCGAATCGACATCGCTGTGTTGAACAGTGCCGTAACGGCCAGTGCGAGTGGACCTGGGCTCAGCTACTGGCGTCTCAAAGTGAGCATTCGAGATGATGAGTATGGTCGAATAGTTACCACGGTGACAGGTCGGGCGTGGCAGCTTGGGATTTCCCTGCAGGACAGCATGCAGCGGATTACTCTCTCAAAGGACCAGTGTGATCAAGTGTGCAGAATCTTGCCATGTGCGGGTCAAGTCTTTGCATATTCCCCAACAGTGTGGTGTACACTGGGGTTTAAACTGGGTGCAAGAGAAGTCTGGGTGTAAAGAGAATTGGTTCAGGCGTGTGCGAACGCATGCACGCGCGGCGCCCGTGGGCGATGCACACGCTCGGAAAAGCGTTCCCCGCGATGCGGCTCCCACAGGATGGGCTAAAGCATGGTAAAGCATTTTGGCCGGAACTCAATTTGGCTTCCACCAGTACTTGGAAGACATTTAGCATGATCGGAATCCCGCCTGTTTTTTGGGAAGTCTTGTGACCGTGCTCATGAATTTCGCTTATTCTTGGGGGAAGCATTGTGGCCGTAATCCTGAATCGCATCAGTACTAGGGGGAAAGAATTTGGCTATGTCGAGGTGGTTCATTGAACGTTTATTGGGGTTTCTGGTAGTCTCTTCGTGTCTCCGGTGGCCTCTGGTGTCCTGCAAGTAGTGACTAAGTAGTGGTCTGCGAGTGGTCGAGGTCGTCTTAGTCGTCGTGGTTGTGGCCGTCCTAGGGAATCTTGTCTGTCTTTCAGGACAGCTTCAGCATGACTGCTGTACTCGGCTGCGTGGCTCAAGTTGCAAAGTGGGAGCTGGTCTTGAACCTGCGCAGGACCTGGTGATATTCTGCAGCTCTCTCATGTAGTGGCACAGTCTGTCCCCCGTATCTCCAGCTCAGCTAGGAGCTTCGGCAGTGACAGCTGCGGTCCCACTGAACTCAGTGCAGCGATAAGCTGCTGCGATGCCGGCAGAGAGTGGCTGACTGCTCTCCACCTCCTGCGTGCCTTGACAGGAACAGTTTAGAATTGGTTTGCCAATTCTCAGTGCTTGACGTCAGGTGCAGCTCCTGCGGCTTTGCAGCATTTGGCATGTTCCCATCCCACTCACCGAAAACATGTGCTTCAGAACTCTTAGTCTTAGGTTGCAGATCTCGCAAGCTTCAGTGCTGCTGTGAGCGCATGTGGAAAGCAGACAGAATGGCAGCCGGCCTATCTGCTTCTGCATGGCATCTCGGCTTGCTGTTGTCCCCAAGTAGGACCTAGGAACGTTGTGTAGCAAAGCTAGAACGCCGTCTGACCAGGAGCCGAAACTGCGGCACTTCAACCGGATGTCTTGATCTATGATGCTGCCATAGCCGCGTGTGCCGTAGCAGAATCCAATCCCTGCTCGCATCTTGGCCGCCGCGGTTCCACGGGTCGACTCGTCACAGGGTACTTGTGCTCTCGCAGTTAGCGGCGGTCTTCTGACCGAGTTCGGCAGCCTCATGCTCCTGTGATCGTTGGGCTCTCGGAAGTCGTTTGCTTACCCTCATGTCTGAGTCTCTGCAAGCAGCTAGAAATCGGTTCGGCACAGCTTCTTCACCCGACTTTACGATCGCAGAACCTTCAAGGACAGCTGGATAGCTGCATCAGTGTTCAGCGCAACTGGCGCGATGACGACTTTCGTCAGAGATAGTCAGTGGAGCCTGGCGGTGATGTTCCTTGCAGAGATTTTGCAGATGCGAGCGATCACGAGCACACATGCCGACCAAAGCAGCCGTTCAACGCTCCACAACGCTGCCATTAGCGCCTTGATACCCATTGCGCATGTTGAGATGAGCAGATCCTTTGTGTTGCCTGCGTTGTGACATGTTGTCGAAACTTGGTGGTCGAGGCGCATGTGAGAAGGCTGGAGAATGGCAGATTGGGTGCCTGCTGCTGGAGAAGGCTGAGATCAACAACTCGTCTCACAGGAATCTCGGCCAACATGGGCCGGAAACCGCTCAGGTTGTTGAGGCTTTTCTTTTGCATTGCTGTTGGCACCGAGGATCGGCTATCATGCCGGCATCAGTGCCCTAGACAAAGGCCTCTCGGAGACGACTCGGAGTGACTCGGAGACGGCCGCTTTTCGGATCGCAGGCGGACAGTGGAAGCGGGCATTCCAGATGCTACATCGAATGCAGCTTTGCAGCTTCGCTGCTGATCTCACGGGTGTCTTGAATGGAACAGTTCCTGTACATCCGCCCGCAATCCAGGCGTTTTGTAGTCCTCGTCCTACTCGCCGCTCTGCACGACTGTGACAGTTCGAGTTTGCTGTCCCCGGGAGAGAGTTACATGTGGCATGCGGCCAAGGCCTCAATGCCGCAATCAGTTCAATCCAGCGATCAAGAGACCTTGAGCATCTAGTCGAAGGAGCGTGGTGCCGCGCATGTGCGGCGCTGGACATTGCCAGCAGAAAAGCGCTTTGGGATGAAATCACAATTAGCACAGTCGTCAGCGCATGTGAAAAGTCTGGCACATGGCAACAAGCTCTTGGACTGTTGCTCCTTGCTCCGAAGTAGCCTCTTTTGCCCATCCCTTGTTCACTCATCTACCAACCGTTATGCGCGTTGTTATACTGATGCATCGTGTTTGCTGTTGCAGGGGGTCCGAACCAGGCAACGGTTCTTTGCCACGCACGGAGGCAACCACGCCCCTTATTTTCTGCCCAGATTCCAGAACAAGCACCCCCCTGAAATCCAAGGGTGCCATTGAAAGTACACCCCTTCTCCTCCTCTGTGCTCGGTAGCTTTTGTTACTTGACACGGGGTCCAAGAGCTACACATCTCCCAGGCGCAGTTCCCCCGCATGTGGTCACCCCGGGTGCCTCCAGGTTGCGAGCTCCATCTTGCCGTTCTCCCATCGGTCAAATTATGATGAATGCGGCCGTCAGTGCCTGCGAGAAAGGGGAGTTGAGACGATCAAACATGACGTGAACGTCTTTGCACCTTCTGATCACTCTGAGCAGCGCCGACTGTCATCGCACTGATCACGACTGACTTCGACCTGTTGATCTTCCGTTCGTCATATCTTGGCTGGCTCGTTCTTGCTTGTACGTTTGGATCACGCGAAGTGTCCCAAACTGCAAACCCTGCCCTAGTCTGCTCAACCTGTACAGTATACGGGTGGAGGTCGTTTCAGCTTTTAAGCATCTCTGTAGTGGCCGGTTCGGTGCAAATCGACAACTGAGCTTGCACGGGCCGTTTCAAGATGATCGCAAGCGGCGCATGCCTGAGTCGGGATATCAAAGCAGCTTGCCTTGGCATCTATGTTCGGGTAGCCCTGCAAGCAACTTCACTCGGTGCTTTGACTCAAGACACAAGCCAGGTCCGGCGCAGGAGGGCAAACAGCTGCGTGACGGCAGGGGAATGGTCGCGACCAGACATGGGAAAGGCCCAAGCCGACGCCGCATTCGAGGAATGTTGCGGAACATGTCGATTGCCAACCTCGGCAGCCTTGCTAAGCTATGCAAGCTTGGGAGAGAAGATTGCTCACGGAAAAGCCTACCGCCGGAGTATTGGCTCGAAGATGATTGTGCCAGGACGAGAGATGTTCTGCACCACTGGTCCTGACGTCAGCTGACTGAGTTCTTAGACTGCCCGCTTGTTCTGGCAGCTCTAGTCGAGTGCGGTGTCTGAACAGCAGTTCAGCATGTCCGCTGCATGGCTGTATTGCATCGCAGTGGTTCACAAGAAGCATGTGTTTGGCTCCTGCATCTACACGCGCACTGGCTGTGCCTGACCCACGAGCACCCGCAGCAGTCGACAGCCGCTGCTTGTTCAAGTCCAGCAGAGTGGATGCTGCACTGGCAGTTTTCAGGACTGGTGGCACAAAGCTGGCAGATGTTCGTTGGCGAGGTGTTCTTTCCAAATACAAGCTGGATGGATGGCAGACGGCGGCATCTATATTTCGAGCCATGTTGAAATTATTGGTGGAACCAGATGCCACCCACCACAATGCTGTGCTAAGCGCATGTGTTGTAGGCAGGGGATGGCAGCAAAGTGGTGCAGTTTTCGAAGGGATGTCTCAGCAGAGCTTGGAGCCGGACATCGTCTCACTCACTACACTGGCGGGGCTTGCAACCAGGGGGTCATGGGTCTCTGCTCTGGATTTGCTGTCGTTCACTAGGGGGCTGCAGGTTGATCGAATCATCTGCTGCGAAGTTTTGAAGTCATACAAGAAATCATCAAAGTGGACACTCAGCTTGCGAAGTTTGGCTCGGATGTCCGAGTCTTACCTGCGCATTGACTCCGTGAGCTGTTCGCACTTCATGAACACGACCAGCCGCTGGCTGGTCGCGCTGCAAGCCATCAGATGGTTTCAACTTCCACAGGGTAAAGCTGGTCTGTTGCCTTTCAACATTCTTCAGAACAGCTACTCCTCGACTGAATGGGAATCTGCGGCTGCGGGACTTGACCATGCATGCCATTCTCGCCTCTGTCCTGATGAAATTTCGTTTTGCGTTTCATTGAAGAAGCAGTGCTGGCTTCTCGTAGCAGGCGCCTTTGCCCTGCTGCACAAGATGCAGTCGCAGGAGGTCCGGCCCAACATCAATTGCTACAACTGCTTGGTTCATGTATCTAGCAGCAATTGGCCAGTTGTTCTGAAGATCCTTCTATGTGTGCAGCAGCAACTGATTCTTCCTGACACGGTAACTCTGAACACATGCGTAGGGTCCATAGGAGCAGCCAGTGGGAACACGTGGGCCCTTCCTCTGGTTCTGGTCGAAGCGGCCGGTGTTCAACGAGACTCTATAACATGGCTTTCACTCCTTGAGCCCTTGGCGTGGACGCGAGCCGTCCATTTTCTTCGTTCTATGCCAGTTGAGCAGGTGCGACCATCCGCACACTGCACCAGCGCTGTGACGAAGTCTTGCAAGAATCTTGGGCTCTGGAGGCTTTCACTGAGCCTGTTGTCTCATTCCGCAGATCGGAGCGACTGCACTGCGTGCAGTACAGCTACGGCTACTTGCGCAGCTGCGTCCTGCTGGCAGATGGCGCTATATCTTACAGGTATTGAAAGGTGGGGCCTGCAGCAAGATAATGTCTCGCTCAATTCATGTGCATCCGTTCTGGAGAAGAACCATGCATGGTCGTACGTGATATGTCTGCTGGAGCACATCCGCACACGGCAGGTTAAGATTTCTCAAGAAAGTCATCGTCCTGCCATCTCCGCCTGCGGGATTTCTGTCTGCTGGGTCCAGGCATTGGCTTGTTGGGAAAACCTTCAAGTCTCCTCTCGGCCAGATATTGCAAGCTGCAATGTGGCCCTGAGCATCTATGAGAAGAGGGGTTCGCTGCTATGGCGCAGCACACTCGAATTATGGAGGAGTCTGCATGCGAGCCACTTTGCGCCAGACGACATCAGTTTCAATACGGCGATTAGTTGCTCAGTCGCACTTTCGAAGATCTCACCTCCAGGGGGCTTGTAAGCACGTCTTGATGCAGACAGATGTATTCGAAACTGAGGTTCTTGTGAGAAGGGCGAGACAGCGAATTCAGGATCCGTAGACTCACCAAGTGGAGGAAAATGCCTTGCAGGATGCTCGCACATTTCAAGTTCCAGTTGCTTGGGAGGCTGCATTTGTGTTACAATCTGTCCTTCACGACAGTCTGGTTCAAGCAAGTTGACAACGGTGACATGGAAAGAAGCATTCACCCGGGGTCGCACTACAGGCAGTATCCGAAAGGTATGTGGACGGCATGAACCATGCGAGGCTCGTGCAGCCGGGGTCGTAGGTCCTAGATCCGTCGAAGTTCGATGGCAATTTAGTTGTGCCTGCCCTGGGCAACTAGTTTGAACACCGTTTGGCAAAGTATTGCTGACACCGGCATCTACGACATGGTTGCCGCCGAGCGGGTAGCTCATTGCAGGAATATGGTGTCGTAAGTGCCAGTCACCCGCAGTCAAGCTGGCTCTCTGGACCCGCACCCACGAGGTCCTCCGGCGGGGCAGCCGCTCAAGCTTTGCGCGCCCTCCGTGCCTTGACTTGATGCTTGATCGTCAGGAGATCGCAGATGACGTGGGACAGTGTGCCGATTCAACATGTTTCCGATGTTCAGGCCGCGCCGCACAGCTGCATACGGAGCGACGCGGGACTGTCGCTTGGTTCTGACTGGCTGACAAGTTGCCACAGAGCGCTGCATGTGCACACTGCACAACCTATTTGCAAACAAATCTGGATGCGACCTACCAATTTCTGCCCAAGCCTTGCTGAAAAGGCATGTGTAGCTTTGCCATTGTTGTTCCAAGGGTGAATGGCAGTGGGTGGGGAGGTGCTGGCTCGAGGTTCAGCGATTGCTATATGGTTGCTCATTACGAACATACCGAGACTTCTGCTCTTCACGCCACTTGACTTGGGGTTCCTTCTTAGGAGAAACTCGCACATCTGGTTGAGGAGGCTGCGCATCAGGAAGGGGCTACGTTTTAGACAGTGTCTGTCACTGTTTACTTGCCTTCCAGAATCGCAACAGCCGGGTCGGAGGTCTTTGGAGGGTGCACCAATGAAATGCCTTGCGGATATAGACGAAAAAGTCCATAAGAAGCATCTTGACTCTCCCACATTGCATTATCATGTAGACCATATGCAGGGCATGTAAACAAGACGGCAGTACCTGCACGCGGCAAGCACATGCAAGACAGTCTTCCCTGCACAGTCCATAGGTCCGCGAAAGGGGGGGGAAAGAAGTTGAATTGAATCTCGTTTATTTACTCCTTTTCCAGTTTGCACACCGATGGTACCCCGAAAGGAATTCCACTCGCAGAAGTTCCACATAGGTACGTTTCTGCAGCCGAAGTGGCCTTACAGGCAGAGCGGTGCTCTGGCCAAATCCATGACGCCTTGCAATCGTTGAAATATGCAGGTGCGGTAAGGTGGGCATACCGGCTTGCGACGTCCAACTCGCCCAGCTGATGAGGATTTTACTGTCGATTATCGCAGAGGTCTCTGCGAGTCGTGACGTTCTTTGCATGTCCGAAGTGTTTCGGCAAGTTTCCAGCGAGTGTGCCTTGCACTCCGCAAATCCTACATTAGCACGAAAGAGTGCTGCACAAAAGGGGGCCCTTTTTTGTGTATTCCTGTCTGCTGGCCCGAGCGAGAGCATCCATCATGTCCGCCTACCCATTGCATTGCTTTGTGTGGGGATTTGAGTTTTGAAGGTTCCTTTTCCCTTTCACTTGCTCATGGGGTTTTTGGAGTTGGCCAGTAGTCTGCCATGCTTCTACGCATGCTGGTCGGCCGGAGTAGCTAACATGCAATTGGAGTTCAGGTGACAGCGAAGCCTGGCAAGATCGTGCAGTCTGCACCGAGAGCAATCCGTGGACGTGGTACAGGTACACGGTCTGTGGCTCTTTCCATGCTGCATGTCCAGATTCCCAGCCCCGTGATTTCATCTTCAAGCTTGAAAAGGTGCGGCACAGACGGACGTGGCATCTCAACATTCTCAGCTTGAGTCCCAGATTCCAGATCGCTGGCCCTGCATACTTGTCAGTGCGATGTCGCCTGCCACACTTTCGACTTGCCAGCTTGTCGTGATCGTTGTTTTCAGAGTCACCCAACTAGTCACGAGTCCAGTCACGTCCCCCCATTGAGGTTGTCAGCAACGCAGCCTGCTTCACAATTGCCGCCGCGACCTGAGCAGAAGCGTTGGCCGTCCGAGCTGCGGTTTCTTGGAGCCCTTCGAGGCTTTCTCAGTCTGAAACTGTTCCTGGCTGGGAGCAGCCGGCTCCCGAGCGTGCTGTGAGACTGTTGACGGTTTCGCTCCTCACCAGCCTGCGAGGTTCGGATCCCAACGTGAAGCATGGGCTTCCATGTCCACGTGGATGCCCATGATGCCATGCTATTTTATGTAGCCGGTTGTGCGCTTGCGGAGAGAGTCTTTTCAGGCAGACACCATCGCATTTCCCTCCTTCCAGCACTGATGCCTCACAGCGCGGATCACAGGCAACTCCGAACACCTGCCGTGATGTTCTACTGTCGCAGCTCTAGCATGCTCTGGCTCGCCCCGAAACATGCCTACTTGATGAACGCGTGCCACTCCGGGATCTTGCCAAGAGTTTTTTTGCTATTGTGAAGGGTGTTTGGCTCAATTCTTCGACAGCGAAGAGATTGTGGCCATGAGCCTTGCGAGCCCAGGATTTCAGGTTTCCAGGTTACGCTCCAGACGCTGGGCTGGCGAAGTCATGAGCATTGGAAAGGATGGCCGAGACTGCCCTGCTTCCTGCGCTCAGCTTAGTCGTGCAGGTTGCAAAGGTATTTCGAGGGAAGTGCAAACCAGGTCACTTGCTTGTGAAGTCTTCTGCGGGAGCTTGAAGTTGGGTCATTAGTGTTAGTGTTGGTGGTGAATGCTAGGTAGCCTGCATAGGGTATTGGATGTGCAGCGTGCGAATGGGAGCGAGCTTTTTTTGCTGCGAGGTCAGTGGGTCTTCAAATCCGCGTCGAGAGTGACTCCGACGTACTTTGGCGTCGGCGCCGTTGGCGTTGGGGCCGCCTCCGCCTGCCTTTCTCGACATGGAGCCAGTTTGTGGAGCAGGACGACCTGTGCGGATGCGGAGAAGAGGCCAGCGTGGCAGCATCCTCCTCCTGCAGTTCCCACGATGAAGGAGAGGTGGAATGGGAAGTCACCCGCAAGGGACAAAGGGCCAAGCTTTTGGCGTTCACATGGAAATGGCCAGGGCCGATATGCATCCACTCGGGGTGCAAAAGAGGATCACCTGGCTCGGTCAGGAACACCGCGAGCTAGTTTTGCAGAGGCCCCTTCCGATGCTGTGCCATCAAGCATGCTGCAGCCTTAGTCTCTGCTGGCGACGGCTGAGTCGGGCTAATTTATGACAGCATTTGTGTGCTGCCATGCTGCAGGTTGAGCGAGACCCTGTCCTCGCAGAGACTGCCAGGGCGAAGTCTCGAGGTCACGGCGACTGAGAGCAAGATGAGCAAGAGCTGGAGAGCCCAGGAACAAACTGAGCGAGCAAGCTGCCTCCAAGCCGTCGGCTTGGCAGTTACGCAAGGATCCTGATGCAGAGTAGCGTCTCCCAATGGTGTAAAACAAAGTGCAGTATGCAGCCTAGCCGGCGAAAGAAAGTGCCAAAGGCAGAGCTTCGCAGGCTGCTAGTACCTGAAGGGTACTTGTACACGACTACCTGTGCCAGTGGCCTTTTCTGAAGAATGCGCAATCGTTGTGCGGTCAAAAGTCAACACCAGCGGGACGTCGTGACTCGCTTGTGCACCGTTGTGTGCGATGTGTCGATGAAGGCCCAGTCGCAACCGCTATGGTGCTCTCAGCCAGTGCCCAAGCTTGCTGCGCAGAGTACCAGCGAGTCAGGGCTCAATTCAGGCCAGTTGCAGCTCCTATGACCACGGCGTCTCAACCAAAATGGCTTCCGCTGCACGGATCTTGGATTGACCGCTGTTCTTTTTTTGGGGCAAACTGAGACAAGTTAAGGGTTGCAGTGGACAGATCAGAGCTTGCACTGCCGCACTGACAAGCCCGAGACATGCAGACTTTGCTCAGATCACAGCCGAAGCAGCCGACCGAGCAGCTTGGATGGCCTGGATGTTGCAGTCGTTTTTGTTGGTGGTCTGGGGTAGCGGCAGTTGCTTTCCTGCTGCTGCATCCTCAGCATCATGGGTGTTATGCTGGGTTCCTGGTGCTTGCCCAAGCAATCCTGCAGAAGACAAGCTGATGTCAGAGACGAACGTAATTTGTGGGACGTCGTGGATGTTGAAGGGTTTTGTTCCTAGAGTCACTCAAGTTCCTCGTCATGATAGCTATGTGGAGCTGTTGCCGACGAAGCACTCCTGAACGTTCGTTTGATGCAAGACCATGGTCTCGGCGCTTTGGCCCGTGTTCAGTTGCTGAGAGGAGCCATGCAAAGATTCCACAAGTGACAGAAGCCCAAGCGGACGCAGGTCCATGGATTTAGCTGTACGCTGGAAACTGCCCCTTGCAGTTGCTTGTGCGGAGTGCAGACTGAGGCAAGTTTGCCCTGCGTCTCTCTCACAGCCTTTGTGGCCCCAGTCGCAGCCAGAAGCGACACAACAGTGTTCGTGGTCAGGCTTGCAGAGCTATGGGCTTCCGATTTTTCCGCATTCTGATCTACTTGGAAGTGTTGCAGGTTCGCAAGGTCATGCAGAATTCCTCGCTGCGAGTGGGCCGTCCTGCACTTAAATTGACGCTGTCGTGTTCTGGAATTCTGGAGGCATTTGTATAATAGGCAGCATTTGAACGCGTGTATGCCATCTCTTGCCCCATAGAGAGCAACTTGACAAACGGGAATGCGCTAATCACGCCACACTAGGACTGTTCAATTTCAATCGCAGGGAAGTCGTCGGTGGAAGCTCATGCTGGTGACTCAAGGCAACATGCACTGACTTCATTATACCACAACCTATCGTTAACTTCATAGGACAGCGTGTTCAGCGTGGCCCTTGTGAATAGTAAATTTTGTCAACATGTGTTGACGACGGCCCATCACGCACACGGGCTCGGGGAAGAACGGAACCTTGAGCAGTTGCAGGAGCTAGTTGCGTAGAAGTGGTAATTACCACTAAAGGGGAAACAGGCAGAATAGTGTTCTTGCCTGAGGAATTCGCATGGATTTTCAGAACATTTGGAATGCCACCAACTACTTTGTCTTTAGAGGAAGTAGGGTGATAGCGCACAGGGCGCAGTGTTACTTTGCAGCCTTACAAAGTGTAGAAAGCCGAGCTTTTCGCGATCCAGAGGAACACCCCAAGCACTGCTGAGATTCAGGGTTGTCGAGAGCAAAACTGGTCTTTCACTCAATCCTGGCGCCGGGGCGCGCGCGGCAGGCGAATCCTTTGTAAATACTAGGACGTCAAGGAAAGCTACTGACTGCGCCACAGCGTCAGACGCTTTCCGCGAGCATCCTGTGAAACAAATAGAACGCGGGGCCCGAGATGCAGCATCTGCTGTAAATAATAGGACCTGTGGGGCCCCCGTTTGATTCCCGAAGTGGGACATAATTTCTTTCAGATCCTGTTAAATTGTTATTTGATACCCACTGCTGCTGCTGCTGCTACTACTACTACTACTACCACCACTACGAGCACCACCACTACCACCACTACTAGCACACACGCTAACACAAATATTGACACTATTACTACTACGTACCACTACACGCGAATACACCACCGCCACCCCCACCCCCACCCCCACCCCCACCCCCACCCCCACCCCCACCCCCACCCCCACCGCACCGCCACCCCCACCACCACCACCACCACCAGATGTTGCTGCGATAGATCGGAAGCCTGAAGCGTTGCAGTCAGCATCAAGGTGCTTCAATTAAGGATCCAATGCTCCGGAAAATGCTGGTGGCATTGTTGTGTAACACATTTGTCTGTGTAGGTACAAGCCTAACCGGTCGGGCCCTGCAGCTTGCTCGGCTCGACCACTTTTGATTTCCTCCTACTCCCTTCGCCTCGCCTTGCAGCATGGCTTCTCATGCCTCCTCGCCGGGCGCTGCCGACGCCGCCTTCGCCGACTTTGCGGCGATGGCCGGCCTGGACCTCGTCGGTACTACATCGCCGACGACGCCTACGGCATCTTCCCTGCAAGCTGCGCCTGTCACGGGCGCTGGGAGTATCGCCGTGCAGCCCTTGTCGGGCCCACCGGCAGAGGAGATCGCCGAGTTGCCCGTCTTGGGCACTCCGGCTGTGGTTGAGCCGCCGGCTGGGGAGGAAGACGTTGCTCCGCCCGTGATGGGCGTTCCGGTGACTTCGCGGGCAGCCCATGTTGGGGGCTGTGCCTGCACCTTTCGACAGGGCTGATGCCGCCGTCCAGACTGATGGGGCGGTTTTCATTACTTCCTTCCTCGCCGGGAGCACCAAGGTCGCCTGAAGATCGGGGTCGCCTGGACGAGGCCTACCACGTGGCAGTCGACCAGCCACTGGTCGATGTGGCGCCCTAGTCGAGCGTCGGGCTTGCTTCGCCGGCACCGCCGGGCTTGGATCTGATGGCTACTCCGCCGTCGGCACCTACGTCGTCGACTTTGCCACCGCCACCGTCTACGTCGTCCAGGCGTTTATGAGACAGGAAAAACGCCGCGCGCAGTGTCGCCCGGCTCAGGCAGCTCCACGACGCGACCTATGAACAGGCCTTGCAGAGCCGCATCGACCGGGACTTGACGCGAGGCGTTGGAGCACTTAAATGGTCGCCATTGAGGCCCGAAGGCGCCGGCCCCGAACAACACGACGGGGGCGACACAGGTGAAGGCGGACCACCCCAAGATTCCCTCGCCGTCTGGGGCCGTAGAGGTCAGGGACATTGCCATCGGCGTCTGCGGCGGCCTCGTCCTCATCGGTGCCGCCGCCTCGCTGTCTACATTCTCGGTGATGGAGAGAGTCGGCAGGTTCGCTACGGCTCCCGCAACCAGCAAACGCCGCGCCGACAACGCCTGGGACAAGTATACCGGTTCCCTCCACGAACCGGGCGCCAAGATGCTGAATTGGGAGTTGCCCTATTCCGTCAGGCAGTGGGTCGCCGACTCCTCACCAGAGGCCGAGGTCTTGGAGGCCCGCATCGCAGTGCGTCTCGGGAGGTGGGCCGCTGCCGCGTCGAGGCGGCAGACCTTGCCCACACATGCCGACCAGCCGGTGCACTGGCGCTGCTGGCAGCACCCCGCCACCACAGGCGGCAACCGGGTCATTAAGGCCGTCGTCAGGGCCTCCTGGCTGAAGGAGGCGTTCCCGCTCGACGCCCTGGCCTTTCTGGTGGACCTCTCCGACGGGGAGGGAGGCCTTCGACCCTCGTCGGGCCTCCCACTCCGTGGATGTCTTTGTCATCGCCCTGTGGTTCATTCTTCGCGAGATCGAGGTGGCGGCCGCCCGCGTGGTTTCAGTGTTGCACAGACAGCGACAGGGGGCGAACGGACCCTCACTCGCCGTTCGCTCCGCTGCGCCTGTGGCGCCACTACTCACCCGCTGTGCCCGTCGCACACAGCCATCCGGCATCTGTCTCGGGGCTTTGTGCTGCTCCTGGACGGCCACGTCTTCTACGACTTCGGCGTCATCCGCGCGGAGCACCTCGTCCCGTTTGCCGCCAGGAAGGCGTTAATTTATTTATGTCCTGGAGATCGTCGCACAGGTGATACCGGTGCTCCCCCTGGTCACCTTCGCCAGGCGGCTGAGCCCTTACTGGATAGCCTTCATCATCTTCATCGACAACGTCGAAGGGCAGTTCGCCGTTATGACGGGCTAGGGGAAAGACCCGTCGGTCAACGGCATCCTGGCCTCTTTCTGGGGCCTGCCGCCGACAGGCAGCGAGCGCCAGACTTTCACAGGGTGCCTTCGGCGTCAAATGTCTCCGACGCCATCTCTAGAAGCAAGGACTCACGCGCCAGGGCCGAGGGGTGGACTCGGGTCACCACCCCAGTGGATGACAAAAGGGAGGTTTTCGCCCGGGCGGCCGTCGACATCGACTTCGCCTGCCACGTGGCTCCTGAACGCCTGTTACACTTAGCGATTTGGTAGGTGCGCACCCCGGCCCCGGCACCGTGTTTTGAGGCGGTGCGCCTGGCCGGGCGCACGATTGCGC